TGCAAACCGAGCTTGAAGAACTCCAAATGCTCGTTCTACATCTTTGCGATATGATTCATGTTTTTGTACGAAATAAGTTTCTTTGGCACATTTGGGTACACGAATGGATTGTACTAAAGTTGACCATTTAGGATAAATACCGTCAGCTAGATAATAACCGACATCATAATTCCTACCTTTGATCGAATAATTAACTGGTATAGATGTACCATTGGTTAATGCTTGAAATAGAGTTGATTTTTGTAGGACATTAACATCGTTATTTGTACCTGGGAGGCCGAAGAATGCATGTCATATCCAGGTATCATGCGATGCTACTGCTTCGAGTATGATTGTGCATTTTTTGTTGCGTCCACGGTATGCCCCTGCATGAGCTGTTGGGCAATTTTTCCACTCCCAGTGCATGCAATCTAGGCTCCCCAACATCCCAGGAAAACCACGAGACTCTGCAACTTGTAACAACTTTTCAATGTCTTCCGCATTTGGATTTCTCAGATAAATTTCACCAAATACCTTGACGATATGACGGCAAATGTTTTTAACAAATCAGATTAGAGTTGACTGAGCAATCCGAAAATATTGATCAAATGAATCAACAGAAGTACCGTAACCAAGAAATTGGATAGATGCACACATTTTTTGATAAGATGTAAAACTTTGTCGTCCTGTATTGTCGTACGATTTCCTCCATGAAGTTGATGTTCTTTTAAAGCCCTCCTAATTCGTTGAAATAAATCACGACTCATCCGGAATCGCCTGCGGAATTGTGTGTCGTATGTGGGATTTTCACCAAAATAGTCATTTTTTAATAGAACTGCGCCAGCTTCCCTTCCACGATCCGTATATGCATGGCCATCAACAGCCCCACCCCAGGTAACATGATCCTGAGATTGCGATAAATAAAATTGTTGCATCATTTGTTGTTGTTGAATGGTATAATTCCATATATAATTAGTGTTTCGAGTTTGAATATCAAACTCGTTTGAAGAATCTTCAGGATCAGATTCATTGGTAGATGAAGATGATGAAGATGATTGGCTTGAAATATAGTGAGATGGTCCTGCTTTGTGATTCATTGTTTGATGTGTAATGGTTTGATGTGTAATAACTTCACCATCATTAACTTATAGAATACTAGTTGCAAGTTATCACGTAAATCATTGCAAGACATACTCTTCTCAATGATTTTTATCTCAAATTAATATATAGGCCCTATCTCAGATATGGGCTTCATGTCTTTGTCTCTTCATATGTTACTTTTTATTTATTGTTTTTGTTTTTTGCATCTTCGTATTCTTGCAATTTTGACGTATTTGTTTTGGCTCTTTCTCATGGAGATTTACTAACAAAAAGAGAAAATAAAATAAACAATTTATTGTGAGGTTCTTTAATAGATTTTACTTTATTCAATTCGTTTCAAAAGTAGAAAATAATAACTTTATTTTCAAAATTTATATCTACCACATAAAGTATTCGGATAACTTGATAAACTTGTTATCATATAGATGGTTTTAAAAGTAGAAACTAACAAAATAATTCAATTTAATTTAGTGGGGTCCATAGCACTTGCTAACATCTATATGTTGCAGGAAACTTGTGGCTCTATAGAATTTGTATAGCTTTTAATGTGTTGTCATTCAATAAAAAATGTGCTGCCTTAACTTTTAATGTGTATTGGATTTCAGTTTGCAGAAACTATTAATGTGTATTGTCATTTCAGTCTGCATAAACTATTAATGTGTTATCACAAAATCGTGTAGTCATTTCGGTGAAGTTTTATAATATTATTTACTATATATACTAATCAATTATTATGTTCTTCACCACTCAAAATCATACTCTCACCATATTTTCCTTCAGACAAATAATATTAGTATTTCTAAAAAGAAAATGAGTCAAAGGGGTCTTTGATTCAAGGTAATTGAGGACGAGATTCTTTGCAATGCATATGTACATCATTCAACTGATAGTGCGGTCGGAACATATCAGAGCAAAGACGATTTGTGGGCGAAAATACAGAACTACTACAACCACGAAGCTGTTGATGTAAATAATTTTGAGCACAGAAACTTAAGGTCGTTAAGTTCTCGGTTCGACAAAATAGCTTCTTCGTGCACATTGTTCCGGGCAGCACTTATTCAAGTTACAGCTCGAAACCAGAGTGGTGGCAATGCTGAAAGCATGGTAAGTATATGTCTTATTAATACTTAAAAATAGTTCATTATAATTTATTTCCAATAAATTTTTTTATTACTAACCTTTACAGTTTGCGGAGGCCAAAGAACTATATATCATCAAAGAACCCAAAAATCAACCATTTAAGTTTGATCATACTTGGAAAATATTAAAATTTCACGTGAAATGGGCTGAACCAATTCAGCCGAGTACATCATCTCCCATTGGATACGGTACTTCATCTCCTCTTGGAGATAGTTCATCATCTCCTCTTGGACATAGTGACTCACATGACAGACTAAGGGGAATGAAAGGAGCGAAAACAAAAAAAAGACTCACAAAGGAAAAGGATCCCATATGGCAAGAGATGATGAACAGTGTTGGAAAGAGCCAAGATCTTATGCAAAAACAGCATGAAGAGTACTTAGATATGAAGAGAAAAAGAGAAGCACGTTCAGATTTATTGGCGAGCCTTAAGCAGAAAAAAGAAGACAATAGGGAAAAAAAACTAAAATTAAAGGCTTCTGAACAAGATATGGAGGTTATGAGAGTGGATTTGAGTACTCTCACACCCTTTAGTAAACAATTCTGGAGTGATAAGAAACAAGCCATCATTGATAGGGGAAGCAGGTCCGGAACTGCTAGGAATTTGAATTTTAGTGGAGAGGAGAGTGGACCAAGTGATGAAGATGTTTACGTCCCGGAATCTCCAAACAACAACAGAGAATGCAACTATGGCGAACCTACTGGCGATGGACATTTCTCTAATTCTAACTATGATAGTCAACTATTAATCTTAGAAAATAAGGGGTACTCTTTCCTTGTTAGGCCAAACAAGGTTTTAACGAGGCCCCTTTGAATCAATAAAATTTTATTTTGGCTAGAAAAGAAAAAAAAAACTTGCTAAGTAGTTTATGTGTATTTCATTTATATATTTTGTCTTGTAATTTATTATGTTACGTTATAATGTTATGTTTTTGTTGGTTTTTGATAATAAACATGTTTATTATTTAAACATATAACTTATTAGAGCCACACATATTTATATTTATTTATTAATAATAATAATAATAATAATAATATTAATAATAATAATAATAATAATAATAATAATAATAATAATAATAATAATAATAATAATAATAATAATAATAATAATAATAATAATAATAATAATAATAATAATAATAATAATAATAATAATAATAATAATAATAATAATAATAATAATAATAATAATAATAATAATAATAATAATAATAATAATAATAATAATAATAATAATAATAATAATAATAATAATAATAATAATAATAATAATAATAATAATAATAATAATAATAATAATAATAATAATAATAATAATAATAATAATAATAATAATAATAATAATAATAATAATAATAATAATAATAATAATAATAATAATAATAACAACAATAATAATAATAGTGATGTAGTCGTCTGTTGACCACTACTTCATCAATCACCACTACTACTTCTTCTATGACGCTGCTGATGAGGTGGTCACCACCTGATGGTGGTGATTATAATAATTTCATCTACTAAGAAGAAGGTGGTGCCGACTCCACCACCTCCTACTATAACTTCTACTGCTGAAAGAAAAAGGAGGAGGTGGTGAAGAAGTTGGTATAATGGTGGGGGGGTGGGAGCTGCCGACTTCTTCACCAACGAAGGTGGTGACGACATCGGCGGCGGCAACATAGTGAGGTGGGGGTCGACCGCCGCGGGCGACTACTACTACATCATCATCATTGTAGGAGTGCTGCTGATGTGGT